AGATGGACAGAGATCAGTGATTGGACTTCGGTGGTAGGAGGATGTGATACTTACCAGATTCGAGACATTGGAGATATTTGGGATTGATACCTGGCAGCATCACAGATCGGACATCGATTACAACCTTCGTCGAGTTTTACTCCAAAGTGTCAGCCCCTTTGTCAAGACTCCTGTGCTCGAAGGTACCATTGAGTTTGACGACGCAGCTCGTGGCGCGTTCGATACGTTGAAGGTGGCGATGCAAGCCGCGCCGGCCCTCCGTATTTACGACCCCACCCTACCCACCCAAGTGACTACGGACGCTTCCGGATACGGTATTCGTGCGGTGTTAGAACAATACCACCTGGACGGTTGGCACCCAGTTGAGTACTTCTCCCAAAAGGTGCCTCTCGTCAACTCTCTCGACGATGCTAGGAAGAACGAGTTACTCGCGTTCGTCACTATTCTCAAGCGGTGGTGCCACTTTCTTCTCGGTCGTCAGCGTTTTAGATGGAACACGGACAATAATCCGTTGACGTACTACAAAACGCAGGACGCGGTCATTAGCACGATCGACCGATGGATGTATTACATCGACCAGTTCGACTTCGACCCATGCCACATCCCCTGGCCCGCCAACCGAGCAGCAGACGCCCTCTCACGACGGCCCAATTTTTGTGCCCTCGTAACGACAACGTTCCAGCTCGACGATGATCTGCAGCAGCACTTCGTCAACGGCTACAAGTCCGACCCGACGCACTCCACACTATACACGGAGCTCTCGTCGGATCACCCGTCGGCTGGTCACTATCGTATCTCCGACGGGTTCCTACTCCTCCACAAGAGAGGAAAGGACTTGTTAGTGGTGCCCCAAGATCGCATTTTACGGACATTGAGTCCTTGGCGAATTCCACGACGCACGACTTTCGGCACACCTTGGCGTGACCCGCACATTCGCCCGCGTCCGCCAGCGTTTTCACTGGCCTGATGTTCTCCGCGACGTCACAAGGTACATCGAGTCATGCGCAGTTTGCCATCCCAACAAAGGTAGATCTCAGGTCCCTTATGGCGAACTGAAACCGTTGCCAATTCCTCGGGCACCTCGCCCCTCCATTGCTATGGATGTTACAGGCCCGTTCCCCTACGATCACCTCGATCATGGCGACATCCTCACAATCGTTGACCATTTGAGCAAGTACGCTCGTTTTCTTCCATGCAAGTATCATGCTACAGCCCCCGATCTCGCACGACTCTTGCACACCGGCTGGATTACCTGCCACAGTGTTCCGGAAGACATTGTGAGCGACAGAGACACTCGCTTTATGTCAATCTTTTGGACTTCCCTCATGGCGGAGTCCGGTTCGACTATGAAGCCGAGTTCCACACGACATCTGCAGACAGATGGGCAGACGGAATGAGCGCATCAGACCGCTCAAATGATGTTGCGTACACTCATCCGTCCCGACCAGAAAGATTGGGTTGGCCGGCTTCCCAACATCGAGTTCGCCTATAACACTTTGGAGCACCCGGCGATCTGCATCACCCCATTCGAGTTGCATCACAGTGGAGAGAAAGCCCGAGTCTTTGCCGATCTTCTTCTACCACGGACCGTCGACATCGACGTCGCTTGCTCTCCCGCTTCCTCTCGGAAGTACCAGGACTTGCTATTCAAAGCCCGAGCGAATATGCAGAAGGCTCAAGTCCGCATTGAGCAGCAAGCTAACCGACGTTGACTCTCATGTCCTTTCCGCGAGGGAGACCTTGTTTGGGTCCTCGCTGAGGAATTCGTGTTGGAACAAAACGTCTCACGCAAACTCCTCCCGAAATGGTTCTGACCATGGAAGGTAATTTCTGCAGCAGGTGACGACCCTGCTGGTCCTTCCTTTGTGATTAACATTCCACTGCACCTTCTCGTACACCCGGTCTTCCATGCGTCTAAGTTGGCCGTCTACACGCCACCTTCGCAGGATGAGTTTCCGGGCAGACGATCACAGGATCTGCCCTCTATGGACGGACATCAGGAAGTTGACCGTGTCATCACGCATGGCAAGTATGGCAACAAGCCAATGCAATTCAAAGTCACATTCAAGCAATGTGCACCTGATGACACCCGTTGGATCTCCCACCCAGACTTACAGGTGTCTGCACCACTCATCTTCTCTGACTATGAGAACCGACGACTTGCCAAGGACAAAGTCTGTCCCACCCGACCCACCCAGATATCGGACAAACAACTTCGCCCTCGCAAGTAGCTCGGTCTTCTAAGGGGGGAAGTGTGTTACATTATGCATTACACACGGGCCATTCCAGGCCCGACGACAGGACTGAGGGGCTACCTAGGGCCTGGACACAGTAGTCCAGGCCGGTCCGACCCAACGACCGGACCCCTTGCCACAGGCTGCCCCGAAGGCCCTTGGACAGACCTAGGCGGGGACCAGTCCAAACGACATTACCGTTTGGACCTGGCGGCCGACTTTGAGGCTGCCCTCACCGGGTCTGATCTGAACCGCAGATCGGACACGAAATCTGACGGTTCAGATCACGAGGCACTCTCGCAGCCTCAAGGCCGAACAGGCCACCGCTGGTACTTAGGAGCGACCGGCGGCCTGTTCAGCACGTCTTTACTTTGGGTCCACCATCTGGGAGCCGGCAGCAGAGAGCAGCGGCGCGCTGCGCTATGGGTTTCTCAGCGCAGCGCTAGACAGCAGCGCTAGGTGTAGTGCTGATTGTGGAGAGAGAGATAGCGAGGAGGGAGACTTACCTCACAGCCACCGCGGGCGCCATAGCTCCTAGCGGCACAGCCGTCTCCAACAGCAGCCAAGGCACCACCTTTCATCATCAGGTAGGGCCTAGGGCTACTCGCCATCTCCACCGATGCTCTGGCCCTCTCAGGTTCTTCTTCTTCTTCTGCTTCTTCTTCTTCTGCTTCTTCTTCTTCTGCTTCTTCTTCTTCTGCTTCTTCTTCTTCTTCTTCTCCAGACCCCTTCTTCCTCGTCTTCAGATGAGAGACTTCGGGTACGAGATGGACAGAGATCAGTGATTGGACTTCGGTGGTAGGAGGATGTGATACTTACCAGATTCGAGACATTGGAGATATTTGGGATTGATACCTGGCGTCATCACAGATCGGACATCGGTTACAATAGGATTCTGTACCTCCGACATTGGTGACTAATGTCAACGACATTCTGATTTTATTCGGTGACATTTTGGGCTACTATATCGGTGACATTCGGGATCCTATTTCGGTGACATCTGGCGCTGTCCCTATCTCCCACCTCCATCGTCTCTCCTCCCACCATTCATCTGTGTATGGGTGTATGGGGCTGAAGCATCGTCTATGTATGGCTTCAGACCCCACCATCTCACAATTGTTTGTGTGTCGAGTGATGTCTAGGTGAGTTCAGTCTATGTGAGTCAGTCCATATCTCAGACTTCCGCTGCATATATGCTCATCCTATATTGGTTGATCTTTGGTTCTGCCCATACTTGGTGAATGTATTCACTAGTATGCAACATATAGCGGCGTGCTTGCCTCTTGGGCGGTGACTTCCAGGCCGCTCGGCCTTCCCAGCAACCGGTACCTCCTCCCTTTCGGAGGGAAACATCATTGCAGACTCTGATATTGCCCGTACAGGCCCGAGACTCAGACTGGTTGGACTGTTACCCGCCTAGACCTAGCCTACAACTACTGGGCCTCTCAAAATGCCACTTTTGTCTCCTTCTGCGTGGCCTACAGTACCTGCACATCTACCTCTTCAGGGTGCAGTACCGGCCTACTTGAGTGTTTTTCCCCCGCTGCAATCCTCAATGTCACGGCCACAGGAAAGTACCGGCCCTTAGGTCCCAATGAATGAACAAGTGCCCTTGCGGGTCACACACACACTCAAGCCAACCAGCACTCAGACAGACATGCAGTCCAGCAAGCATGGACACACACACAGACATGCAGAACTTAGTAGTAAGCGGGAAACTCAGCAAGGCTCAGAAATCAACTGTGTGTCTCAGTCCGTGTTTGGTCGGGTTATCACACAGTGGATTAATAACCAAACGGCAGACATAAGCACCAAGACATGCAGATAATTACAAAAGTCCATAGACGGATAAACCAGGGGGTTAAAGACCACCTATGGTTAACCAATGGAGTAAGAACCAGCTACCATCTTCACCCAAATCGAATATACGATCATAAACGCTGCATCTGGACATGAACTTGCGCCAAATGCAGCTTTAGTGAACGCACATCCCCCCTATTCAGGGGAGGACGGTAGTTACAGCCGAATAGACAAACGAGGTACGTACTATCAGATAGGGTGGGTGCAACCTGCCTATTTTTGTAGCATGATCTAGTTCACTGCAACCAAGCTTTGCCAGTGTGCAATACAACTGCAAATCAAATCATTCCAGTTGTGACAGAGTTAACAGGGAAGAATTCAGGAGTTCGAAATGCCGAGAAACGCGAGACTGTTAATGGGATGTTGAACAACGGCAATGAGCTTGGGTGTCCGAGGATGCGCTCAATATAGCCCCAGACCGCCCTTGCACCTTCTCTGGTTGTGTAAATGCCGTCTGCTGGTGCTGTTTCCCCAGCAACGGTCGCAACCAACTTATCCCGGTCAGTGAACAGGTCCTTCACACCTCCACCGATATGACCAAAGGTCGTATTGATGGCTGCTATCCATTTGTCTTTTTCCAAATTCGCTTTTTCGATCACCCTCCCCTGTCCTCGCTGAGCCTCGCCTCATGCTGCTAAAACATCAGCCATCGGCTTCATTCGCAGGTTCTCTCGTTCCAGCTCCACCTTTTCCCTCTCTGTGGCACGTCATTGCTGCTGGATCTGTTCCTCTGTAATTCGACGAATAGCCTCTTGCTTTTGCACCAGTTCCTGTTCCATCTTCACTGACTCGGCATTTCGACCTTGTTGAGCGTCATGATCAGCCTGCACCCGTCTCCGAGCAAGTTCATCCTCCTACCTCGCCAGGTGCGCCTTCTTTGCTTGCTCCTGACGTCTGTTGCTGCATGATCGTCCGCTGGTCCTCGTACAAAACCGTCTCTTGCTCAATCTCCCGCTGAGTCTGCAGAGCTTGATACTCGGCAATCTTCACTTTCTCCTCCGTCTGGCGCATTTCTTCCTGTTTGTGCATCAACTCTAAGATTTTCTTCGAGTGAGGTGAAGCATTCATCTCTCGCAGAGCCTTCACACCACGCTCAAGGGCCTCGGGATCAAACCCAACTGCTGTGTCTTTCCTTCTGGGTCCCCCTCCGCCACCCTTGGATTCATCATCCTTGTGCTTCTCTTTATCACCCCTCTCAGCAAGCCCAACTGGCTGCTGTCCACACAGAACTGCTCCAGCAGAAGTACTCACAAACGAGAGCCCGCCGCCGAACACGTGCCGGAGGGTCACCATCTTGACAGTCGGCCAGAAGCACACTCTGTCTGCAGTAAGCGAAACGATACGGAAAACAGGATATGGGGGCCAGAGCCTTCCAGACCAGACTGGCTAGTAGCAGATAAATATCACATACTACAGCCATCCATCATGACGTCCCAACTGGATAGTGAAACTAAAGCACCAATATTCATCCTGAAACAATATTTGAGAAAAGTCAGGGTGGTGGAGACACAGATATTTACAGTATACAATCTGGCAGTGCCCATTGAGGAGCTGGAAGTGGATCCGGTGGAATGGGCATGGAACATCAAAAGTTCTCAAACAGGAACATCAAGGAGAGTAAATATCCTACACTACACCACAAGAATAGGGTATAAATTGAGGAGCCGATCTTACTCCATGACACCGACGCTGCTCAGGAGATGGGAGAAGAGGGTAGGGGTCGCCAGAGGACAACTGACATGCATTCCTTGGGCAAACATTGGGGCGATACGGCTGGGCCCGGTCAGGAGCATGCAATGGCTAATAGCTCATGTGGCACTCCCAGTGAACGTCTGGCTTAATCAAAGAAGAAGCCAGACGCAGAGAAGTGAAGAGAAGGAGTTATGCAGGGTATGTAAGGAAGAAGTGCCAGAAACAATGCAGCATTGCCTACTAGAATGTGAAGAGGCAGTTGCGATCTGGGAAGTGGCCAGGGGTACCTGGAGCCAAGTAACAGAGATTGCTTTCCCAGACTCAAAGACTTCTTTACTGTTGGGTTTACAGGTTCCCAAGCAATGGCGTCCTTTTCAGAAAAACATGTTTCAGTTGGTAAGACAATATGCACTCTGGACTATTTGGAAGCGCCGATGCCAAATCACAATTGAGGGTACAACAATGCATAGGCAAGGAGAGATGGTTAACGGAGGGCCAAATATTCGCCATTTTCGCTGGCAATTTCAGTGCGAATTTCATAAAAAAATTTAAAAACAAACGATATGAGACCATAGTGCAAACATAAAAAACGCCCCCGGTTAACCATATGTGTAGGCAAGAGGCTAGGGAGATTTTCCTAACCCTCACTGAAACACATCTCAAGGCCCAGTGGAAAGTAGTGAGAAACCAAGTACGTCAGCAGCCACAGCAAGAGAAAGAAATCATGAAACGCGTCAAGCAAAATGTATTAGGCAATGGGGCAATAGCAACTGTCCAGGGAACACATTTGATGTTCAAATGGAGAGGAGGGTGATAGGGATTAAGGGATGAAGGACATCTGTGCAGGATAAGGAAGACATTACAGGGAGGGGTTAGGATTTAAGGGTGGTAGTGCCCGGCAGAAAACAGCTCGGGTACAGGGAGGGTTTAGGGTTTAAGGGTGATAGTCGACGGAAACAGGGAGGGTTTTAGGTTTAATGGTTGAAGTCAGCTTACAAAGAATTGAAAGTAGAGAGGACAAGGGAAGGATAATTCAAGGTAACTAGGTTGTAAGAGACCGGATAGGCAATATATGGGGCCAGGATAGCATAGGGGGAAGTAGCTAAGGGCTTTTCTTGGTATTCACGAGCCATATGGCAGGTTGATCTATTCGGCCTAAGAGGAAAACACTTGGCAGAGCAAGAGGACTGTACGATAGACGAAGTACGATAGGATAGCATAGGCAGGGGGGAGGGGTGGTACATCCTTCCTCATGGGAGCAATCAATGCCGCCTACTCGGGCCTCCCATCCATAATGCGGAGGAGCGTGCGTGTGTTTTTGATGTATTCCAATTCAAATTTGACTTGCCGGGGGTATAGGAACCGGACTGTTGCTCCCCAGAATGGTAGGAGCCAGAACCAAGAGGTTCTGTTAAAAAAAAAAAAAAAAAAAAAAAAAAAAAAATCGCCTTCCTCAAATACACAGACTCAGTTGCTGAGGAGGTGGTCATGACTTGCGGATGTCGCCACACCTCAGAAGCTCAACAAGAAGTGCGGAAGCAATAAACAAAATGGAAAAAGAAAAAGCTTCAAGCCAAGTCGACATCCTTTGACACACCATCTTGGCACCTGCAATTGCATGTCCGTGGTGGTCTTGACTTACCGCAAACTGCCAGAGACCTCACAAGCTCAACAACAAGAAGCGCGGACTAGAAGCACAAAACAAGTGCCACCGCTGTAGCCTGATCCCAAATCTTTCTTTACGTCTCTTACCTACACTATTGACACCTTGTGAATGTGATGGGAGTTGTCTTTACACCCATCAGCGAGTGTTCAGACGTGAAAATTTTCACACGTCTCCCGAGTCGCGATTGACTCGGATGGGAGGAAGTCGTCGTCGCTCTGTCTGGCTTAAGGCGTGCATGCGACTCGTCGACCCCGCTTGCCACAGTGCCAACATTCGCCCACAGAGAGAGGCGCAAAGGGGAACTGTCTTCATCAAAATGAGTCTCCGACAAACATGAAGAAGTTATATATAAAATTGAATTAAAAAAAACTTTAAAAAAGTCCTTTGAAGTTTGAACACTAGTAGTTGACAGGAATATCAGCAGGGATAACCCAGTCATCGCATCTTTCTTTTTTTTTTTTCTTTTTTTTTTTTTCAACGCATCTTCTGGTCAATCGAAATGGTTAACAATGGCCAATGGAAGGGAGGAAGAAGAAGCATGCATGCAACCCAGTGCCTACTGGCTGGCTGAACAGAAGACCGGCCAAAGTATTTAAGAAATGGCATGACAGGTCGAAGGGGCCTTGTGTTCAGAGGGGGAAATACAGCTGACAGGCCGCTAGGCGCCCGTTGTGAGATGCATCACTTACGGAGCTCAGTCTGAAGACTCCGAAGCTGATTAAAAAAATGACACATTTCTCCAGTAGCGCCCTGCTTAGTGGGGAGGAAGGTGACGATGCCATGAGATTAACTTGAAAGCTCTTATCATCTTCTTCTTTAATTTTCCTCTTGTGTAGTCCCGTTCGTCGAGCGTACAACACACTGAGAATTGTCCTTAACTCTCAAGTATGAGATGTGGTTTATAGGCAGTCCGTCAGGACATCCGTTAAAATTGGAACGATACAGAGAAGATGAGCATGGCCCCTGCGCCAAGGATGACACACATAAATTAAGCAATGGTCTTCAAAAAACAGCAACGACGACAACAACGACATAGCTCAGTTGGTACACCCATGAACTGTTTTGAAATAGAGACCCAAGTTTGAATCTAGATGCAGTCGGATTAACAAACTAACGTACTTGTGAATTACCTAGGGCCGGTCAGTTCAGTGATGATATCTCAAGGCCATGTGAAGTTGACGTTTGCTACTGGAATCCCTGGGGGGTTCTTCCTGTCATTCCAATTTCCAAGTATATGCCACTCTCCTGGGATGACGCAAGCCTTGTTCCCTCTTAGTGGAGGCCACATGATGATCCATGGAGGCATCCAGAGGGCACCATTCCCCCTTACCTTTGCCGATTGTGAGCTTTTCGCCCACTGCAGGTTTCGGAGAATCATCTCAGGGACTCGATCTTACGCGTCTTCCCTCACCTTTCCTCTTCCAGTCTGATATCACCACTCTTCTCTCTTCGTCAGTGATTTTCCTCGGAAAGTTGTTCCATCGGGACCTCCTCTCGTTTCTGAACACCATGGTATTCCTGTGGGGTTCGAACTCACGTCTGCATTTCAACAGTTCAAGGATGTAACAGCTGAGCTAGGCCAGTTGGTTCACCATGGTAATTCCTTTCTCTCCGAATCACACTCATTGTTCCCAATTCTACTGCCCGATGCCACATACTCTTCCCCTTTGTGATTTAATGTTTTCTACTGTGCCAGACCCTGGTAGGATGTGCTGCTCTTGCCAATCTACTTTCACTGCTCTGTTCTTTCCCCATTGTCTCTCGTACGAGTGCCGGATGCGGCGGATGGTTTTTTTTTTTTGGCCGTCCCCACCAGAGATGCTTGACATCTTAAAGTCTTTCGGACTCTTTCCTTTTTACCGCTTGGTTCTTCCGCATCTCTTGCACACTTCCTCCACTTTCACCTTCTTCTCTTTCAGCCAGGCTGCAGAAGGGATTGCCCAGTGCGGTTGCAACCATGCCAGACTGCTATGCTTCTTTGCTGGACCCTTTTTTTTTTTCCTCATACGCTCCCAAAATCTCTTCAGACCCCCATACTCAGGCTGTGCAATCTCGGCGTGTTTCTTCGCTCTCCTTTTTTTTTTTCTCTCGGGGGGGGAAGGGGGGAGGGGGGGGAGGGAGGGGACAATTGCTCCAATCTATTGGTGGGGTGTAGCACGTGCTGGGAACCGGGCCCAGTGTCCCATATACAAGTTTTACAAAACACATGGTGTTTCTTCTCTCTCTCTTTTGTTTCTTTTTAAACAAACAACACTTGCAATAATAGCCGTTTTTGTTCTGGGCTGCGACAGTCCGGTTGCTCATCACTGGCAAGCAGCCCTTCTTCATTCTCTCTATCATCTCCTTGCTCAAATCTTCTACTACTTCACGTCTCACTCGATACCTCACCCTAATATGGTAATCATTCCGCTTCACTCCATTAGACTCATCTGCTAGGCTTCATGCGTAAACACGGGGATTCAGATGAAGTTCAGCAAGGGCCTTTATCCAGTCTATACCCTCTCATGACCGCGACCTTTTGATTGTTTATGTCATTCCTCCATGGCTACCACTACAACATTAGAGATCCTTGACTGGTGTTCACATCAAGGAGTTGTGGCAGGAGGGAGATGATCTCGCCATGATATTAAAGCGCGTGTCATCTTCTTTCGAATCTTTTCCATGTGTCTTGATATTTCCTCTGTCAGAGCCTCAGGCTGGATCGAGCGTTCTTTCCACCAAACCGTCTGTCAGTGAGAGGCAAGGAAGAGTTCCCTTCCTGTGCCCCACTGTATGTTCCCACCATGGCTAGCCACGTGCTGTCACCCATCCTGTCTCTTAATTTGCAAATATGAGTGGGGCTCATAGGTTCTTTTGGCTTTACCAAAAAGTCCTTCTGGCCAAAGTAGGGGGGGGGGGGGGGGGGGGGGGGGGGGGGGGGGGGGGGGGGGGGTGTTCAAGATCTTTTTTCATTTCTTTGGGATGGTCTCCAAATCAAATGAGGGACAAATTTTCCTCTACTTGCTTCAAATGCGTCCAGTTGTAGTGCTACCTCAACTCTTCTGCCTGCAAGCTCAAAAGTTTGTTCTCCAGTTTGTGTCATATGTGTTATCATGCCTCAATTCTGGATCTTCTCCTTTCGATCCAAGCTTGACCGAAGTTTCCTGTTTTGGTCGAGGATCCGAGTTGCTCACCATTGGTTGTTACGACTCAACTGCTTTCAAATATGTGCAGAGACAAGCGGAAAACCCCTCGAGCTTTTTTGAGATTTGATTTGATTTGTTTTGTTAGGAACGAGTCATACGACATGGATGTAGACAAATATCCACATCCTCTTCGCTGCTGAGATGCCAATGAGATTTGAGAATCTGTCTGCCGATCCCATTATTGGAGATGGTTGGGACTCGGCAAGAAGTTCTGCACGCCATCTTGCCAACATGGCCTCAACTCTGCTCTTGGGATCTATAATACCTAGACCCCCCTGCACCCCTGGGCCCATTGCTTTCCACCATTTGTCAGATTTGTTTTTCCATATTTTCTGAGATGCATTTCTGCTGATTTGTTTTTAATAGTCATCCTCAAATTGATATACAGCACTTTGAACCAAATTTTTAGAGAACACCAAACTGTTCAGCATTAAATTTCTTCACAATAGAGAATAGAGACATCCTGACCTTTTTATCGAGCGTTTGAATCTTTGGCACACTTCTTTTTTTCTTTTTTTTTCTCTTTTTTTTAACATTATCCAGGCCTGCTGGCAGTGGGAACACTTCTCCTCTGTGATGAAACTTTGTCTCACTGCATAATCTTCCATGGCTACCGGCGCCCCCATGAATCTTTCAGTTTTATTTGGTTGCAGGGTTTTCAAAACGCCCAACTAATCCACTGTCGACTCTGCAACTCTTGAGACAGTAGCTGTGAATTTTATCCAAGATATCGATGGTTCGCACAGGCAGGCATAAAGATCCAAACCTTCTTCTAATGCATTTGAACCACAAATTATTTTCGGCAAGTCGCGGATGCATGTCTGCCGGCCAGTGCTACAGTGCCATGATGTTTCCACTTGAATGAATTTATGCCAGCGCCCCAGGCCCATCCATCCCAGCACATGCGCGTTGCAACTTTCAGAAGTACCGGTGGTTTAAGGGATGAAGGGGTGTTAATTGAGGCAACAAACATGTCATCAGCAATTGGGTTGCCTCTGGAGCGGCATCCTTCCCAAAAGTTTTATGCGCAGTGCCCACTATATTCTGGTTGGCCCTAATTGGGGAAAGTGGTATCACCATTTGTATAACAAACAGCAGTGAAGCTAATGGGCATCCCTGTCTCAGAGACCTAGTTAAACCACCAGTACTTCCGAGACACCCTTCTCTGACCTTGGAAATGCCCTGCGCGCCAAAGAAAAAAGAACCGGCGCAGCCTCCTTTTGGCTGCCACCACCAGCCATTTTGCTCTGGAGTCTGAGCCCTGAAAGTTGCGGCGCATTAACGTGAAGTGCCCGCGGCCAATGTATGGGCCAAGTACTGGTGGTGTAACTTGAATGGCTTGGACAGGTGACCACTTGCTCAAACTATTCTTCTGGTGTCCATGGAAATTGGAAGGCTGTTTTCGGCACTAGTACTCTCGTGGGAGAAAGATTAGGAATAGGTATGGTCTCCACCTGTAGGACCGACCGACACCCGGTAAACTTTGGATGATGCTCATGAACTTGTCGTTAAACATTGCCACGATCTAGAGACCAACATATAAAAGATGTGGGACAATATCCCAGATAAGGGGAAACCTAAGGATTGGGCAAGGGTGAGAAGTCAGGCAATCCCTTCAGTTATCCTCAAATTAACAAAGATATACTAAAATTAAATATGGCACAAAGGTTAGCAGTGTTTGAAATATTTGAAATAAAAAGTCCGATTAAAACTTCAGTTAAGCCCTTGAGGAGGGGTTTACTACCTTGGAATTCTCTATGCATCAGGTACGACAAATCAGGACTTTGAGGAAGTCGCGCACAAGGGAAAGGAAAGGGGACTAGAGGCGGCAGAAAGGGAATGAAAGGACGCAACCAGGTACAAGGCAAGTAAACAAATATGAAGATTTACCAATTCTATAGGATCAATCAGGATATTGCGAGGCCACTGCCTCTAAGAGCCCCATAAGGCCCCCATTTTTGCAGCCCGTCGGCCGCCCTAAGTGAAGGCAGGCTCGACGAGGCCCTCAGGGCCTTTTTCTGGCACCACACAACTCAGGGAAATTCAGGCAGTTGCGCAGCGTCAGTTTGGTTGAGTGAACCCAGGCCCTGGGCCGCCTGTGTGAATGTACGTGAAGCAGGCCCTGGGCTGGATACGGGTATGGGGCCAAACACAGGCCGAAAGCAGTTGGGCAAATTCAACCACTTCAGGCCCAAGGCCTGCTTTCCTCGTGACTGGGCCTCAGGCTACCGGGGCCTACTGGAAGCTTCCTGGACTGGACGCAGGCAGGCCACTTCGATATAGGGAAGGGCCTG